TTGATGAGACTGCGGAAGTAGATGTGCAACCATCGACTTTTAGTATAAATAAAAAACCTTTTGAAGATTTATGCAAAATTCTTCTTCTGCAGAAGAAGAGGCGCTCTCTAACACTTTTAGATCATTCTGAGGAGGAATTAGTTTAAGCTTTATGTGCTAAACTGAAAGAGTCTAACAAAACTAAATTAGCGACTACCTATAATCAAAGAACTGTTCCAAAACGAAGAACAGTGTGAAATAGTAGACAATCTTTTAACTTAAAACTGTGTCTACCTGAAGATAAACGTTAGCGCTAGTTACATCATGTAATTTGTCAAAATGGCAATATCGCAATTTGAGATTCATTCTCACTTCAGATAGTATTTATGGGCTTCCATTCTATCAAGAGCTTCTGGAAACAAAAAAAACTTGTTATCCTTCAGAGAGAGACGATATTTGTTGAGTTATCAATGATGGACATATTGTAAATTGGGCAACCTCTCGTATAAGCTACTTTTTGACGGCCAGCGGACCTATACATACAACGTTGTATTAAGTATTTCCCTTAATTTTTTTTTATTTTAGTAAAAGTTGATGCATTCGAGCGCGCGCGAGTGCGAGTCGTTGTTATGTGTCATTAAAAGTGTCCCTTATACACCATATTGTAATTCTGGCAATTTTTCGTGGAAATATTTAGTATAAAAAAAACGATTTTTCAACCCTCGATAACTCAAAAGTACGCAGAGATAAGTGACAAGTATCTTCGCATGAAATACTCATAATCACTTGTTTTATAACATGTGTGATCGGCATCTTGACATCGTTAAAGAATTTCGAAAAATTGACAGAAACGTAATTTCTTCCATACAAAAAATATGTGTATATTTTTTTTTACTACGAAATAGACGTCGTAGGATTGTAATATTTTTTTGCCTTATTAGTTATCATAGCAGTAACCATCAAAAAATTTTTCGTGCCTCTAGCATCAATGTCCATGTTTTATTAAATCGGGACCACTGTGTGCCGCGGCAATATTGGCAATATGAAAATGAGTATGAAATCTTTACTAAGTACACAATAATACATTATTAGCGTAAAACTTCACTGAAATATACACATACGTATAAACGTACATAACACATACATTATTTATTTGATGTATAAAACAAATTATTACATTATTGGTAAGTATAACATATTAGTTAAAAACTCAAATGGGAATTTTAAAACCCCTTCCCCCACTCCGGCGCCCCCCCTTTGCGGCGGCGGCTAAGAGGCGGGAACTTTTAGTACCTATGTTTACTTACTAAGCATCCTGAACGAATTTCTGAAGAAATTGTTTAGATACCAGCTCACGCACTCTACAACTGCTTTTTTGAGTGGACTACATGGGAAAATCCAAAATATGCGAAAAATTACTGTTTTTTCTCTGTCATTTGATAGTATTTTGGGAGGAATGGGGGTGTACGGGGGGGCAAAGTGGCGTTATTTTTGCGCTAGAACGCACCATTTTCGAGATAGGAACGATTGTAAGAAAAATACGTACCTGATTTCAGACTTCGCGCTCGTCGGCCTATGCCGCGGCAGTGTTGGCAGGATGAAATAAAACAAAAGTTATTGTTAGCTTAATTCAATGAATTAAACAACCTATTGCTACTTGAGTATGAAATAAATAATTATGTACGTACATAAATATAATCGTTCATAAATACATTTAATTTTGATGTATAAAACAAATTACATTCATGGTATTAACACATTAGTGAAAAACTCAAAAGTGGGAACATAAACCCCCCTTCCCCCCCTCCTAGAGGCGGGAACTTTTAGTATGTTGTATGTTTACTTTCTAAGCATCCTGAACGAATTTCTGAAGAAATTGTTTAGATACCAGCTCACGCACTCTACAACTGCTTTTTTGAGTGGACTACATGGGAAAATCCAAAATATGCGAAAAATTACTGTTTTTTCTCTGTCATTTGATAGTATTTTGGCAGGATTGGGGGACTACGGGGGGGCAAACTGACCTTATTTTTGCGCTAGAACGCATCGTTTTCGAGATACGAGCGTTTTTAAGAAAAATATTTACGCACCCGATTCTAGTAGACTAATGCCCGTTTTCACCATCAATCTCTAATTTTTAAGTGACCCTTATGATGACACTTAACAGGAATTTTGTTTCATAGGGGTCACTTAAAAATTAGGGATTGATGGTGAAAACGGGCATAATACTCAATCCCTAATTTTTAAGTGACCCCTAATGCTAACACCAGGAAATTAATTTTCAAAGGGGTCACTTAAAAATTAGGGATTGATGGTGAAAACAGGCATTAGCCACAAAGCTTAGATCCACAAAGCAGTAGGACAGTGTTGGCAGAATGAAATAAAACAAGAGTTATTGTTATAATTCAATGTATTAAAAATATACTATACAAGCTATTGCTACTTGAGTATGAAATCCTTACTAAGTACACAATAATTTAACAATAATACATTATTAGCTTAATAAGTTTTACTTCACTGAAATATACACATAGTATAACACATACATTTGATGTATAAAACAAATTACATTAATGAATTAACAGTTGATTACATGTAACTTTGTTGGCCTTCGGTATCAGACTCGGAAATTACAAAGCTTTTACAGAACTAGCATTATACTGTTTGTATTTTGTACATAATAGATAATTAATAGGTACTATCGGGGACTCTTCCGCCTGACCTGACCGCTTTGTAGAAATTTTTGCGTAAGCGCATCGCTCCGGTCACGTGCTCACCCCGTCTCTAATTGGTTACGCATTTTACTATATTTTTACTACGACCAATAAGAGACAATCAGGGCTTAGGTTGCAATACGAAATACCATTGTGCACTTTATTGTCATACGGTTAAGGTTTAAAACGAAATGTTTCTTTTTCTTCAATCTTTCTTAGTTTTAGGCTGAGTTGCACCACCTAACTTTGACCGTAACTATAACGGTAACCGGTGCTTTTTGTATGGAGTTTGACAGAATTTTGACGTTTGTTAAAGTTAAAGTAAGATGGTGCAACTCAGCCTTAGAATTTTAATAATAGAATTTGGTTACAAACAAATAGATATGTATTTTTTTTAATATTGTGTTTTTATACGAGGTCTGTCTGCTTTTTGCTTTGGCGATCTGTCGACATATTCTCTCCTTTGTTTTTTTGTGAAGTTTCGTGATCAATAACCGATTGATTTGTGTTGACCCGTGCTAGTAATTGGACTGTTTGATTGCCTTTTTATTGACCTCCGCTCGATTACTGAACCATGCCTCTCAAAATAATTCTTATATTTACTTACAAACTTATCTATACATTGTTAACTGTTTAAGTATTATTTAGTTTGAAGTTTAATTGTTATTGATTTAAGACCTTGTGTAAAGACACTTAATGTGCAATAAAAAATTGAATTTGAAATAAAACTAACTGAATATTATAATATTTACGATAACCAATTACCTGGATGTGAGATGTTCCGTTTTAAAGATAAGTGTTTCTTTAAAACGGAAAACAAAATATGCATTAAAAATAAATAGAAACCTATCAGTTATAAGTTTTTATTTACATTCAAGGATTTAAGAAAGTTATAGCCAGATCTTACAATAATTGTTTTTAAGCCACAAATATTCCTTAACTCTTTACTAATTAATTCAATAACATATTGTTTTAAATTATAAGTTCCGAATAAATTAAATACCTATTAAATAAGTAAAATTCGAAAGTAACTGTATGATTTTGTATTTCTCGCCCTAACTAGCTAAACTAATATCATAAGATTTACACTCATAATATCAACAATAATTGTAGAAAAGGCTACTTTTTTCTCGGGAAATTGCATAGTTACCTCGGAATGTGCGATAGCAATTTTGTGACCCGAGCGGGCAATCGCTAGTTCAAATTTTACACGAAGCCTCATATAATATTTTGTAGCGATTCTTTATTGGGTTTCAAATTGACTAAAATGCGACGTTGCCAAACGAGCGCTACGGATGCGGGTAATAAGCAATACTCAATCCTAAATGCTTTACATAGAGCTTGGTTTGCTAGGGCAAACACCTACAGTGGTGCGCCGACGCTGCTTAGACCCGAAACATGAATGAACGGGGGCGGAGCATAATCGAGCGTGTGTGTGCAAACAATTTAGGCCCTTAAGGTGTCAAGGCGTTCGAGTCCCCGATAGTACATTCTAAACGGCTTATTTTTTGAATCTGGGTTCGATTTCTAGCTTCAATTTTCTTTCCAAATACATTTGAAAAACTTAACTTGGCATGTTACAATTTATTAAGATAACTTGACCCTTTCAATACTACGACTTTTTGAGGCGATAAGTAGGTACAGAAGCTTTTGTCTACATTGACGGTCGCCACCTTGTCCAATGGTTCCCGTACTGGATTATAATGACAGAGGTCGCGGGTTCAATCCCCACACAATATAAACATTTGTTTGTGTGAACTTATCTTATTTTCTATGAATAATAAATGTAGGACATTAAATTAATTATTAATTATTTACAAAAAATAATGCAACACAATCTGATACGGGGCAAGTTTTGTCTAGTTTGAGATTGGATGGAGTACAGTGTAAAGATATTATTTAGTTAGAAGGTATTTTTATCGCTGTAAAAAGTCGCAATGTTCTAGGGCCTTACGTCCTAATTCAGCTTTAACAATAACTTAATACAAATCACTAACAAAACAAGTATCGTTGATTGAATGCCTAACTCTTCAGCTCCTCGTGGTAAGCAAAAATGCTTGTGTTACGAGTGGGCTCACCACATTAGTCGAGCGGCAGCGGGGTTCGAACCCTTCCTTGCATGTCCAGTCGACCAGTCCAACCCCTTCACCGTTCGGCTATCGTGGCTCCTTAAGAGTAGGCGCACACCGTTGATTTTTCGTCGGCCGATAGTTTAGTCGGGCAGTTGATAAGTATGGGCATGTATAGGAGTGCGCACACTACGCCGATTCGATTTGGTCGATTCTTCATACAATTTGAAATCGGGCACAACTATCGGCCAACTAAAAATCAACGGTGTGCGCCTACTCTAAGTATACTTTTTAAAAATACTTTTATTTATTCTTCGACAGCGTTCTCTGCTTCTCAGCATGCTGCACCAGCTGCTTGTCGGTGGCCAGACCTTTCCTCGCTCGGACTGAGTCCATGTAAGCCTTGGCTCGGTTCACTCCGTCCCATTTCTCGCCCCAGTGAAGGTATTCCTCTTCGGTGCGCGGGCGCCAGAACGGATCGATGTCTATTACCTGGAAATAATGTTATTTTATTAACTATTATGTACTAATCTTTAATAGTGAAGGAGGTGAACTATGTCGTTTCAGCGAAATGACTTCCACTGCTGGACAAAGGCCTACCCCAAGGATTTCCACAACGAACGGTCCAGCGCTGCCTGCCTTACTTATTTGAATTGAAATAATAAAGAATTCTAATTTGCATACCAATTCAAAGAAATCTTATTAGAATTTGTTGCTTTTTATGAAAGAAAAGTATGTCTTGGTGTAATCAAGTTAAAATGTTGAAAACAAGGGGTTAACCTACTTTCAACAAGTGACAATATCATTAATTTTGTAGTTTTTTGCTACTGTAGTAATGTTGCATTCAAACAACAATTACGATTATTAGACAATCGAAGTCGAATAAGATTGCGCTTAGTCGATTACGGTGACCGATTACAAATCTAAGGAAACAACTTTTTTTACTCAATGCTTTGTTTTGTTCCATGCTTGTCGTAATGAAAAGATGAGACAGATAATCTCATCTTTTAATCTCAATAATTTCAAAATATTTTTGGTTATTACTTTATTTTTCATGGCACCACATGCCACCTAAGGAAAGCGGACTTTACGTAACCGGAATAGGCAAGAGCAAAGAAGAAGAAAAATATAATTTAAATTACCTATTGGATTATAAGGCCGGCTTGCACCATCTTACTTTAACTTTAACAAACGACAAAAATCTGTCAACTTCCATACAAAAACACCAGTTATCGTTATAGATACGGTTAAAGTTAGGTGGTGCAAGTTGGAACTCAGCCTAAGTCATTTTAAGCTTTTTAAGAAGCCCTTGTTCCCAACGAGTCAGACCAAAACGAGTAACCCTGTTACTCGTTGGGAAATAAATCCCTCCTATTTACATCCCTAATCATTAACCCGTATTTTCTTACTGTAAGCTTTAGATTACTTAATTATTTTGATTTTTTATGTATTTTGTACATAGTCAATAATAGTCATAGTCATAAATGTTTATTGCATCATGTTTCTTTATAATGAAAGCTCTTTTATCTTGATAATATGTACTTAATAAAGGTATTTAATGTTTGTGTGTGATCAGTACCAGTGTGACTAGTTGGGAAAAAACAGGGTTACTCGTTTGGGTATGATGACTCGTTAGGAACAAGCAATATTTTAGAAAAAATAATTATATAAAAAAATCCAATCCTACCTCCCAATGGCTGAACAGCAGCTGTGGCGCGGCCAGCCCTGACGTGTGAGTCCTCAGTTCCAGCGCGAACTTGAAGCTCTCAGCCACCGGCAGCAGCGCCCGCACCCGGAACGAAGCGGACCCGCTTTGCAGGTCGCTGCCGACGACGCGGCCGCCGCGCTTGCCGAGCGACGCGTATAGCTTGCCTGGAAAGATTGAGAAAAATATTAATATAAAAACCATAAATAGGTAAACTAATTAGTTAAAGCCTAGAAGCCTAGACGATCTATCTGTGAAAAGATACATTACTAGAAATACAAAGGAACGAGATTAAAATTTTGTATTATAGTCGAGCTTGACGTCATCATCATATCGCTGCTACACGATAATAATATGGCGCTGCGTGTTGTTTCATAAACTTTTAACAGAAAGTACCTAAACTGAATTTGGACCATAAGGATATCTTACAATAATCAGAAGAAATAATGGTTTGGACGTATTAATTATCATTTCTTTAGGATAAAAATTGCCAACCAATGGCTTCAGAAGTTCTTATCTTACCAATCCAAAAAATAAACCGGAGCTGTTTACCAGCAACGTAAAATATTCCGCGGCATTTTTTTCTCAAATTAAAAAAAAACTATTCGTCATCCGCAACTCGTGATCAGGATCGGAAGCCAAAAAACTTCGTGCACTGAAAAAGTTCGCTTCGTGCTATCATGTCGGTGGGGTCGCTTGACAAATATCCAGTGGTCAGTGGCGTAGAAAAATTCCTCCAGTCATTAGTCGCGGCCATTTTGAGATGAAAGGGGGGCTTCCGGTCACGGACGCGTATCCGGTCCGGCTGCCCGACAAAAGGCAAAATCGGTAAACATGTTAATTCTTGGGCAAGGAGAGGTAACTTGTTGCGCCTTGGTATTTGTGATGACCGTGCGAGCTAAAAGGCTTTGGTTGTCTAAGTATTGTGCTTACGATTTTTCAACTTAGTGAGGGCTAAAATAAAGTTTATTAAATGTTGAAAACCTCCACACCCCGTTTGGCCAAAAGGAGAGTATAGGGTACATCTTCCATTTGCCTCTTGTAAATTAGAGGGTCGTGTTCCTACAGTGGAGTGGAGACTATAGGGGAGAGTTCGGTATATTGTACCGCCGGGTAAATTGTACCACCCTCATATTTCGTAAAGTATTTATTGAATGTCTGTAATTGCAACACTTAGCGATACACAACTAAAATCAATTAATATCGGCCATGTGGTTTTTGCCGTGACAAGAAACACGTGTGTTTTATTTTGAAAAGTATTTTTTCATTGTTTTCAAGTAACTTTTGACAATACATGTTTAGATTGTAATTTTGTTAAATTTAATCGCAGGGTGTTTCTAATATATTATTTAGAAGCGTAAATTAGTGTGGATTACAATTATTTGAAACATTTTTCGGTATTTATAAGCTATATTTTTTACCGATTTTTTAAAAGCACTATCACCTAGTCGGCTAAATTGTACCACATCAAGTTGTATGGAACTTTACCAAAGGATTTTGAAATTTTTTTTAGTAAATCATATTTTGAAGTTATAATAGCGTAGTTATGTTTGACTAACAATAAATGAAAGCAAAAGACTGGCAAAGTAGATTAGGTACAAGTGTGCGTTACGATAATTGGAATTACAAAACTTGTACTCAAAATCGTGATAACGTGTAAAACAATATCGATTGTCTATGTTATTAACTACTGTTCCTCTTCGTTTCCTAATTTGTTAAGAATGTATCGTATAATATTTTGCCATAGTTTTTTTAAAGGCTTGAAATTTATTGAAATCCAATTTAGTAACCCTGTGGTACAAATTATCGAACCGGTTGGCTAAATTGGACCGAAGCTCTGAACTCGTACTTTGTTGATTTGTGCTAAATATACAACAATCATGTTAATTAATACTTATGAAATAGTAAGTGGAATAATGTATCTTTTATTATATACCATGGACATTAGCAAAAACAAAAGAAAACTATGTGTAAAATGGGATTGAAAAAAACTGGTCCAAATTAGCGGACTCTCCCTTATATGATCTCAGATCTGATGATGTCATTTTTAACGAAAAAGTTGGAAGTATATTTTTTCTTACTACTTTCTTACTACCAACTAAAGATTCTAAATCGAATACAAATTCTTATAGGATCAGTGTGAATAGGTACGCGAAAGCTTTATAAGAAAGAATACCGCTTCTGTAACTACCACCTAAACTAGTAAATTCCTTAGCGTTGTTGGACACGCTTGTTATTTCGAATGTGTGGTTCAACCGAATAATGTGCACTTTCATCGCCACAAGAATGTTAACTACAAATATCATTGAGTAACGGGAAGCACCTCCGAGCAATTGCCTCAAAGGTCGTTTGAGATTCGGTCGTAGGTTGGACAAAACAATTCGACTTGGTGAATGGAGCCTTAGGACTAGTATACACCAGCTGCTTTTATGTTTTTAACAAGACGTAAAATGACAGCGTAGGTCTATTTAATGTTCTACTCTTTCTGTGGATGACGTAATAGGCAACTAAGGGAGTATAGTTCTTGCAACTCACGAAGGCAAGTGAGCCTTTACTTGTGTGTGTACGTGTACATGCACATAACGATAGTGTATTGTCTATATGTCTGTCAAAACTTTTGAACAACGAACAGTAGCGAGCCTCCACACATGCAAAGCTCACTCGCCTTCGTGAATTGCAACAACTAATATGAATAGCATTTATCAAGCCTTCCCTAACCCAGTGGGGGAGTGTAGGCCAAATTCTCCATTTTACCACCGGTAAATTAGGGAGGCTCCGAAAGGAGAAGTAAGGGCCTCCTAAGTAAGCCTTTTTGTGCTCCTGCAGTGAAGACTCAATAGCCTGATGATGATCAGGAGTCAGGACTTTGGATGCAGTCTGCTGTGAACCGCTATTTTAGAATAGGATCCCTGAAAAATGCTGTAAAAGTTTTTCCCTAACAGTATTTTATTCTGAGCCTAACTATAACTAACCTTGAATTTGAAAGATGTTAGTCGTTACATGGCCATTGACACTGGGCTTCTTCATACTCAAATGTGACACCATAACAATTCGGTGGCCAGTGTGCAAAATTGCCTACGTTACATTCACAAAAACGAACATTTCCTCACCGCCTTGACGTAAGCATTGTCGAATTCGAACCGCATTTCCTGCGATCGGTAAATAATAATTATACACGCCACACCGTGATAGTACCTAGCTTGAGAAAGCTATTTTTATTGCCATGTGTGTTGTGGATCGATTGCTATTGGGTATTGGGCTATTGTTTTGGGAAACAAGTTGCGCGTCCAATTCGGATGACGCACGCCACAAATATTTGGTAGGTGTTAGCGTTAATAGTAACGGCCGTGCTGCTTCCTATTTCTGTAATTGTGAGAATGGTTCGGTTGATTGTGGATAGAACCTTGCCTAAGAAGGTGTTGCGTCTTGAAGACTATTTGCAATAAAATTATGTGGTATGCGGGTTATAACAGGTACTACATTCCCGATAAAATAATAATACATTATGTAGTTATTATGAATTTTCATCCGCATGTAAGGTCAGCACGTGACTTTGCAAGACATCATGACAGTTTTAGTAAAATAAATAAATATAAAGATGATCATAATGATGATGATGATGCTCTCCTAACAATTCATAGCCTCCAACACAAGCCTTTATAATAAAATTTTCAGGAACTTCATGCTATTCTTATTAGACAATCACAAGACCATTTCCAACTGACCTATCTCTTTCATTCATCTTTTGATTCTAATACCAGCGAGGGAGAAGAAAAAACAGTTTTGCGGTGTAGACCCTGAGGCATACCTATGTCGTGATAACAGCGCGGTCCCGTTGCGCATGCGTCCCATATCCCCATCCGCTACTAACGGACTCCTCTAGGCTTCGGAGGACGTCCGTCTGATAGGTCTTATTAATCACCTATGTCGCTGTATCAATATTCATATTCGTACATTTTTAAAAAAGAATATGAGCAATTTGCAAATACAAATTACTAATAGTCCCGTTAACCCAACCCCTCGTGGTAAGCAAGCAATGCTTATATTACGAGTGGGTTCACCACAATCGTCGAACGGCGGAGGGATTTGAACCCGCGTTCCTCGGATCACGAGTCGGCCAGATGGACTCCTTCACCCTTCGTGACTTTGTACCAGAACACCAGAAGTCAAAATTAGTGGGTGAAAGGACTGGAATTACACCTTTAGGGAAAACATTGGTTTTTTTAATCCACAATGAGAGAGTTCTACAAGGTGGACCGACGACATCATAAAGGTAGCAGGAAGGCGCTGGATGCAGGCCGTTACAAACCTTGCGATGTGGAAGTCATTGGGGGAGGCCTATGTTCAGCAGTGGACGTCCTGTGGCTGAAATGATGAGATTTCTTGGGGATGCCTGATGGATGATGAATGAGTGGCGACGTTTACATCATCTAGCGATCTAACTATAAATCAGTTTAATAATCTTTATTGAATATGCCGATAGCTTGCGCACTTTAATTCTCTTGCCGCTTTGATGAATAATTATACTAGACTTAATGTAATCCCGTTGGAAATAATAATCTGTCTACAATCTTGGAGAGCTATTGATTTTAATCTATTCTATTCATTAACATCTAAATACCAAATGGTTTCATTCACAATCCATACCATTCATAGAATAGAATGAATTATAGGTTAGTTAATGATAGTTAATTTTGTAATGAACAGTCAGCACTGTATTATAATTGTCACGTAATAGCGCAAAATAGCTTATATTTTACATTGAATTTCAGTGAAGTTATTAATAGTAATCTGTTCGTTGTTTTTAAGAACATCTGGATGATGTTTTGCAAAAGGGTTCTATGTGACAAATTATGAGTTTAGAGAATTCAGAAGGACTGATGCTTGCTGTGATTTTCAGCAACGTCTCGTCTTGCAATGACTGTCAAGTGACAAACCATATAAAATAAAAACAAAACATTTAATTGATTTTTTGCCAATTGATTTCTACTGCCAAGTTCACCGATGTGGTCGGATTCAACTGTTACGTGCGTGGGTTCCGTTACGATAAACGTCAGCAGGGATCCGCCGTGTGGTTTATTATTAGGGTGTCGTCTTTACAGAACTATTAAGGGACATCTATCCAATTCAAAGAAAAAAATAACAGTAGTAGGTATATGTAGCAAATTTTGTATCGTATTCCTACTTATCGATTTCAACATTAT